CCAGGTCCCATTCCAGGATTTTGTGCCACGCGTTCTCATCCTCTGCGATTTTCAGGGGGGCTCTCTCCCTGCTGGCCGCCTCGTTGGACTCCTGGGCATCTGATTCGCCCACCTGCGCGTGATTTCCTCGATCTTCCCGACCCTGTCCGCCTCCACGTTGTCTGCCCCCAACTTCATGTGTGGGGATCCCATCCTCTGCCTCGACTGATTCATCCTCTGACTCCTCCTCTTCTTCCCCCATATATTCTGACCCCTCCTCCTGCGCAGGATCATTCATTGGTTCCTCCCCTGTTTCCTCTGGCCTGCCGTGTCGTTCCCGCCAGTTTCCGGATCTGGCCTTCTCTCTCGCGACTGCTCTCACCAGCTCCCCACGCGCCCGCCCCTGCCCCTCCCTCGTCCCCGTCCTCTAGGGGCCGTTCTTGGCGCCGCATTTCGCGGTGCTTGGCCCGCGGCCCGGTCATCCTCACGTTCCTGAAGGACTCTCTGCCGACTTGTACCCGCACGCCTTCTTCGTTCTGCGGCGCTTGCCGCCAAAACCGCCTCCTCCTCCTGAGCGTCGCCGTCTGCCTGCTCCCTTGCTCGTCGCTCTGCCTCTCCCTCCTCTGTAGCCTCGTGGCCCACCTCCTTCGCTGCGCTGGTCGCGCGCGAAGGGGCCGGGTCCACCTCTCGGCCGCAGGAGCCCGTGTATCGCTCGCCCCGTGGGCGCACTCATCCTCATCTGCGGGCCCGTGGTGGTTCGTTCCGGCGTCGCCGCCCGCCCCCGACCACGCCTGCGCTGCAGCGACAGATTGTTGGCCCGCATCTCCAGGCGTTTTCTCAGCCTCCCCCGTTGTGGTCTCACCCGTCGTCCCAGCAGCAGTCGTACCAGCAGCAGTCGTACCAGCAGCAGTCGTCCCAGAAGCAGTCGTCCCAGCAGCAGTCGTCCCAGCAGCAGTCGTCCCAGCAGCAGTCGTCTACGCAGCTATCGTCCCCGCTGCAGTCCTCGATGCAGCAGCTGACGTCCCAGCAGCAGTCGTTCCAACAGCCGTCGTCCTCACGGCAGTCGTCAGGTCCCGCTGCCCTGCCTCCTGTAGCTGCCTCCCCCCCGCACAGTACGGTGCCCGCGCCGGCGGCTCCATCACCTCACCCTCCTGTGCCACCACCGTCGGCGTCTCCGGCCGGTGCACATCTCGTGCTCCCTCTCCCCACTCGGGTGGGCGCCGCTGCTGGTCTTCTGGCTGCTGCGCCTCGGCAGCAGCATCCCCCTGTTCCTCTCGACCCCGCCCCTGCCGCCCGTTTTCCTCCGCCAGGGCCCCGTGCCCAGTATCCTCCTCTTCCGCCTGACGCTCCTAACCCTGAGGACGATGAGAAATGGTGGAACGGCGAGTTATGGGAGTCTCCTCCCATGCCCGGGACGACGTGGGGTCGGGACTGGGACCTGAGGTCCGATTTCGTCCTTGATGTTCTCCGCTGGGAGAGGCGCATGCTTGGTGTGGGGGAGTGCCTCTCTCACGTGGCGACGGCGCTGGAGCAGCTGCATGAAGGTCTTGAGGCGCGAAACTACGTGCTTCGGGATCCGCAGCTGAACCCGCACCAACAGGGCGTTGTTCGTGAGGCTACGGCGCAGGGCTTGTGGAGGCTCCTCCGTTTGCCCCTGGAGTCCGAGCACCCTGACGAGGACGAGGGGCCGGGCGCGAGGGCCTTCCGCAGGGTAGCTACGGCTGCCGAACAGTCTCCCCTCCAGCTTGTGCCCGCGCTCGCGTCCTTGCTCCGCTGGATCCGGCGGCGATTTTACGTGCTGAACCGCGTGTGACGATCTACCCTTGTCGGGCCTTGCCTTGTGACTTCTTGTTCCCCATGTACTCCCCCCCCCCTCCCTGCGTGTCCTACTTACCTTGCCCTTGTTGTTGTGGGCCTTGCTAGTTGTGCATGTTTGTACGGTAGCCTGATAGTCACGCTGCCTTTGTCTTGCCACCCCTCGTGCGCGGCCGAAGGCCGCGCTGTCGAGCGCCGGCCGCCGAGAGCCGCCGGATTTGCAGTGAGAGTGAACCCACCGCACAACAATGAGGAGGGGAGAGGGCTCCCTGCCTTTATATACTAGGAGGTTGGGCTGGGAGCAGCCTAGAACAGGGCTACACTAAGAGTATAGGCTACACTAGGAGAATAGGGTTGTATATCTAATATCTCCTATGCAAAGGATCTCTCTCTCTCTCTCTCTCTCTCTCTCTCTCTCTCTCTCTCTCTCTCTCTCTCTCTCTCTCTCTCTCTCTCTCTCTCTCTCTCTCTTATTTTACATAGATCGCCTACTACTAGTAGGATCAGCGTTATTGTTGCGCATGCCATGTGACTGTCAGAATGTTATATTGTCTAGCCTGCAGTGGGGTACTCTATAGCGAGTACAGCCCAATCTAGGGTTTGCTATTTGTACTCAACTGCCTGCTAGTTCAAACCCTCTTTCTGTTCCTAACTTCTGCCTAACTTGTTTCGACATGGTATCAGAGCGAGCATGATCCTGCCGCCTAGCTCAACGGGCCCACCAACTGCTTCCGCTGCCGCACTTTCCGCCGCGCGCTCCGTGGTGCGCGGCGCTGTATTTTTCTTCCCGCCGCGCGCTCCGAGCGCGTGGCGGCTTTTTCTGCCCGCCGCGCGCTCGGGGCTCGCGGCGGCTTCACCGTCCGTCGAGGCGCCCTCCGGGGGGGGCCTGCCCGCTGCTCCCCCCCCGTCGCTCGTCGCGGCGCCTTCAGGGGGCCCGCCCGCTACTCCTCCCCGTCACTCGTTGCGGCGCCTTCAGGGGGCCCGCCCGCTGCTCCCCCCCGTCGCTCGTCGCGGCGCCTTCAGGGGGCCCGCCCGCTGCTCCCCCCCGTCGCTCGTCGCGGCACCTTCAGGGGGCCCGCCCGCTACTCCCACAGTCGCCCGTCGCTCGCGCCGCCGCCCCTCCTTTCTTCATTCTTACTTTCTACAGCTAGTTCTGACATGCTATCAGAGCAGGTCGACCCCCTTGGGTCGATCCTGTGGGTGGGCCCACCACCTAACTGCTTCCGCTGCTGTTATGCTTCTCGCGCGCCTCGGGCGTGCGTCGTCTTCTTCCTGCCGTGCGCTCGGGGCGCGCGGCGGTTTTCTGCCCGCCGTGCGCCCCGAGGCGCACGGCGGTTTCCTATTGTGGGGGACCCGCGCGCGCCCCCGCCCTGTCCGTCGCGTCGCCCTAGGGGACCCGCGCGCTGCCCCCGCTGCCCCGTCGGTGGTCGCGTCGCCCCGCGACCTCGTCGCGCCGCCCTGGGGAGCCGCGCGCGACCCCCCGCTGCCCCGTCGACAGTCGCGTCGACCAGCTGGAGCCGCGCGCGGCTCCCGATTCCCCGTCGCAAGAACGAAGTTTTGTAAGAACGAATGTTGAGCTGCTCCGCCGGCGACATATTCCGCAGGAGCACCCCGTATGCCATCAGCGATTCGTCGTAATACCTCGCCTTGGCGTCGTCGGTGTCCTCAGCGGGCTCCGCGTAGCTCCCGTCAAAGTAATGGAAGATTCGGGCGTTCTGCAGCAGGAGCTCCAACTCGAAGCTCCATGTATAGAAATCTCTGCCGTCAAAACAGGTACTTGTCTTTATTTTTGATATGCTGAGAAACCTTGATTGAGCGGAGAGAATTGCCTCTTCACTGGGACGGGGAGTCTTGGGGGTTGAGCCATTGGTGTCGAGGGAGAATGTTTGCGGGGTGGCGTTCTGGCCAATCGGGGCCGGTTGAGTGGGTTGCGAGGATGTTCCCGCATCGCCATTCCGCAATGTTTGGAGTCCTTGCTCCAGGCTGGTGAGTCGCTGAAGAAGTTGTGCGAGAACTTCGGAATCGATTGTCGTCGTGTTCTCGCTTGTCGCAGCCGGGTTGGGTTGCGCTTCAGCCGTCAGATTGGTCTGACCACCAGATCCTCCGGCCATCTTCACTCGTGAGCGTGTGCCGGACGCCACTTTCCGAATGTCGCAATTTTCGGGAGTGGCAGTGCGAAGGATTCCCGAGCCGCTCTCATACCATGCTGCGATCAGAAGTTGATCGTAGCCCAGGATCTACCCAGGAAGGTTCGCACGCAGTGAGATAGTTTGGTGGGCCCTTGACCTCAATAGCAGAGTGAATGTAAAATGCTTGAGATGAAATAAAACATGCAAATACAAGAAATATAAATATGAGTACAAGGGAATACGAAACGACCTAACTAGCCATGTACTCTAAGGGATACATTCCCTTATTCAAATTCATTCCCAACCGTGCGGCGCGTACAGTTTCGTAACTGTTCCCGCCAAAACCATCCTGCCTGAAGCTGCCCGATGCCATCTGCTCCGACGGTCTAGATGTGCTGTAACCGTCTGACTCTTCGGTTCAATTCCAACTGTCTGACGCTTCGCGTTCATTCCCGATATTGCCTGCTTCTCTTTGCTGCGACGAGGGGTGCACAGTAATATCAGATATTACTATTCGTAACAGGTACAACCCATAGGGTAGTAATTGTACTCATTTATTGCTGTTAGTCATCATTCCGCTGTACTAACTTCAACACCTTATGCTGTGTACAAGCTGCTGCGCTTTCACAATACGTAATTTTCAAAGGTGTAACACTTCCAAAAATAGTTTATAGATATATGAGAATCAAAATCGTATTGAAGTGTTATGTTTTCCGCAAATTCCCTCAATCCAACGGCCTAAGCTGCGCGGCGCGAAACTGCGGGAAAAAGGGGCACGCACGCACGTCATGGTGGTTTTCAGCCCCCTCAAAGCGCCTTACTATTATTTTGTTCAGAGCTTGTGTCTTTCGTTGCTTCAGTGACCGTTTTCGTGCTTTTCCAAGTCCATGTGCTTTATCGGCTTAGGAACTAGAAAACGTATTATTGTGACAGAGTTGTCGTTTCGGCGTTTCAGTTATGGCCATGGCGGGGTTGCAACAGCAGGGCGGCAGCATGAGCACGAGCAGCAGTGGCAGGGAGAGCAAGACGATGAAGGAGAGGCAGGCGTCGGCGGCGCTCGAGGAGCTGCGCGCCATCATGCACGCGTGCGCGACGTGAGTCAGAATGACGGAGTTGCAAAAAAAAAAAAAAGTAATAACCGAGACTGTCTCATGTGCGACGTACTGACAATGAAACTGCCGCATATGCGACGAGAATATATATATGGTCACATGTGCGACGTGAGTTAAACGAAGCGGTCGCATTTGCGACAGTAAATACGACGAAACAGTGGCACGTGAGACGTGAGCACGTTCAAAACTGTCTCATTTGTGAAGGGATAGTAATGCATGCGTGCAACGTGAATGACATTTCGCATGCGTGCTAGGACTCCGAGCCGGAGTGAGTACGTGGGCCGAGTCGCATGTGCGACACGCATGAGAAATTGGCGGCTCGAGACAAGGGGGAAGAGGAGGGGGAACAATGCTATGTGACCGTCGATGGTGCAGGCGTGGGTACGAGTTTCTTTGCACTCACATGCCACTAACGCCTCACCCACGTGTCACCCACGTGTCACTCTCGTGTCACCCGCGTGTTACCCGCGTGTCACCCCGTGCCAACAGCATGCTCAACAGGAAGCCGGCGTCGCTGAAGCGCGCGTTCGAGCGGCGGCACCCGCAGCTGGCGGGGGAGGCGGACAGCGCGCTCTACGCCAGCCACCTGCTGCTCTTCGCGCTCCACCGCGCCCTCCGCGCCCGCACCCTGCGCACCGCGCTCGCCGCCTCCAAGGTCCCCTTTCCTCCCCTCTCTCTCCTCTGCGCTATCTTCTCTCGTCCAGCACCCCCCTCCCTCGAATGGCCCTTTCATTGATTGATACAAGGTCATACAGGCGTGCACGGCGAATGCCCCCCTCCCTCTCTCTCTCTTCGCTCCTCTCTCACGTTCGTCACACACTGAAGCCCTCCCCCATGCCATTCCTTCCCTCACCTCCTCCCCTCCTCTCCTCCCCCCCCGTCTCCCCTCCCCTCCCCCTTGTGCTCGGCAGACCGTACCACTGGACCAACTTCTGTACCGCAGCATAACCACCTTCGCCACTCTGCACCGCATGCACCTTGCCACGCAGCAGCAGCGCGCGCGGCGGGAGGCATCCAGCAAGAGCGCGGCGGGGGGCAGGGGAGCGCCGCCCAGGCCGCCGTCCATGGGGCTCGAGCAGGTAGGCGCTGGCGTGGCAATGATGGGTGGCGGCAGCAGTGGTGGGGAGGAAGTGTGAGACACGCGGTCAGGCCAGTGCGCATGGAGTCCTTGCTGCGCGTGGGGTCGCTCAAAATTCTCGCCGAAACAGTCTTGCAGTCTCTGCGCACCCACTCCTCTTCTGCTTCTGCTTCCTCCCACTCTCCGCCCATCCCAGCAGCAGGTGCAGGCGGGCATTGGAGAGGAGGAGAGCAACGCGGACAAGGAGCGGGCGGCGCAGGCGGAGGCGATGGCGCTGGGGTTCACACGAGTGGCGCCGCTGCTGGGGGAGCTGGCCACGCCCGCCACGGCCGCCTGCCTGCACCACCACCTCGCCTTCACGCGCGCTGCCAACTCGCCCTCCGCCCACCCGCCCCCAACAGGCCTCTCTGCCGACCGCATGCACCAGTTTGTGGCCGCCGTGGCGCAGTGAGTGCGATGTGGGCGCAGGGAGTGGCGTGTGGGCGCAGGGAGTGGCGTGTGGGGCGCAGTGAGTGGCGTGTGGGGCGCAGTGAGTGGCGTGTGGGGCGCAGTGAGTGGCGTGTGGGGCGCAGTGAGTGGCGTGTGGGGCGCAGTGAGTGGCGTGCAGTGAGTGTGATGTGGGCGCAGGGAGTGGGGAGTGGTATGAGAGTCCCCGCCATGCTGTGTTGCCCACGCTGCATGCCATTCCAAGCCCATGTCATGCCATTCCAAGCCCATGTCATGCTACAAATGCTGCACTGTGCCATACCATGCACGTCCCCGTGTCCGCATGTGTGTGTGTGGCGTGCAGCGAGCATGCGGCGATGAGCAAGCGCACGGGGGTGGCGGCAGCGGCGTTGGGGTTGCAGGAGAGGGAGGTGGTGGTGGCGGAGAGTGACGCCACCCTCTACATCGACGCACCGGGCGCGCCCAAGACACTCGTGGGCCATGGCCGCCTCTACCTCACCCCCCTCGCCCTCTACTTCCAGGTGCGCCCTCTACTTCCAGGTGCGCCCTCCTTCTCACACAGCACCACCTCTCTTCTCCACCTGCTGCACCTGCCTTGCGCCCACACTCCCCACCTTACTCCCTTATCGATCCCCACAACTCTTCTTCGCCTTCCCCACCTCCAACTCCCCCCCACCTCCCTCTCCCTCCAGGCGGACGCCACGGGCTTTCTGCGCACGGTGGCGGGGAGGGTGGAGCGCTTTGATCTGGCAGCGGTGGGGGCGGAGGCGGCGGTGGCAGCGGTGGCGCCGGACGCACTCGCTCTCAACGTCTTTTCCATGACGCGCTCCCTCGCCCTCTCCTCCCGCCTGTGCGCCCTGCTCATCCACGACTTTTTCCCACCTCCGTCTGCGCCTCTCCCATTTACCCAATTCACTCTTCTGCTGCTCATCCCATACCCATCCCAAGCCCATCCCATGTCTATCCCATGCCCATCCCATGTCTATCCCATGCCTATCGTGGGCAGGCAGGCAACGTGGACGGTGGAGTTCATAGAGTACAAGCTGCAGCGCCAGCGCGACCTCTGGCAGGCGCTGCTGGGGGAGGTGCTCGCGCTGCACGCCTTCCTTGCTGACTACCGCCCCGCACCCAATGAGGTGCTGCCAGCTGGCACGCACGAGCAGGAGTATGCTGAAGATGATGACCTCAGCGATGACGTCAGCGATGATGATGAGGGGGAGGTGGAGGACGAGGAGGAAGAGGAGGAAGGGGATGAGGAGGGGAAGGAGGAAGGGGAGAAGGCATCGTTGGAGGTGTTGCTGTTGGAGGAGGGCAGTCAGCAGGCTGTGTGGATGATGGTCAACGCCGTGCTGCAGCTGCAGGTGCGCCTCACCCACTCCCCCGCTAGCGTCCGCGTCTTGTCTGCCAAGCACAGTAGGGCAGGTCAGGGCAGGGCATGGAGGCGACTTGTTTTCAAGTTCTCGCCCGTGAGTGTGGCAACACCAATGGCGCATGCTTCTTGGCAAGTTATTGGCCGGGCGACTTGGATGCCACAGCGTGTGTAGGGACCACCTACCGTCCGTGCCTCACTCACTGCCACCACAAGCCTGCCTCCCCCCCTTCAGGCCCTGCAAACGGTGATCGGCAGCACGCCTGCGCACCCGTGCCGTCTGCTGCCCTTCTCATGGGCGCGCACCGTGCCCGAGGGCCACCTGGTGGAGCAGGCGCTGGCGCTGCTGCTGTGGGGCCCGCAGCGCCTGCCCGCCCTGCGCACCGCCAAGTGGTCCGCCAAGCGCCTCGCGCTGCTGCTCAAGGGGGGGGCAAGGGGGGACGAGCGCGCAGGGGGGAGGGGGGGAATGGTGATGTCCCCAAGGGAGCTGTTTCTGATGAGTAAGGGCGGGCAGGGGAGCGGGTTCGGGCAGGGTGGCGAGGAGGAGGAAGGCGAGCGGAGTGGCAGGGGGGATGCATGGAGCGGTGCTGCTGGCGGGCTCAGACCTCTGGGACGGTCGGCTTCCTGGAAGCTTCAGTCGTCAGTGTCGTTTTGGAAAGGGAGGGAGGGTGGTGGGTCGATGGCGAGTGAGGGATCGGTGGGAGAAGAGGAGGAAGAGGAAGAGGAGGAGGAGGAGAGGGGGTTTGGTGATCGCATTCAGATGAAGCTGGAGAAGGCTGTGCGCGTGGCAAGGCGAGTGGCAGGTTGAGGGGGAAGGGGAATGGCATGGTGAACGGTAAGGGGGTTACATTCAGAGCATGGGGGAGAGGTGAGACCGTTGATTCAATCGCCATCTCCTCACCTCGCTTTCCCTCTGCCGCACGAAGCACTTCCCTCAATTCCCTCAATGCCGCCCTCTGCCTCCCGTTGCTGCCCTCGGCCTCTCTGTTTGTCCCCGTGCGAGTGGCCATGCATGCAGAACTGGTCGCTGCCACTGATTTGCCTGTGTCCGTGTGTTTGTGCGTGCGCGCGCACGCATGTGTATACGTGTGTGTGCATGTGTGTCCGTGTGTTTGTGCGTGCGCGCGCACGCATGTGTATACGTGTGTGCGCATGTGTATACGTGTGTGCGCATGTGTGTGCGTGTGTGCGCATGTGTGTGCGTGTGTGCGCATGTGTGTGCGTGTGTGCGCATGTGTGTGCGTGTGTGCGCATGTGTGTGCGTGTGTGCGCATGTGTGTGCGTGTGTGCGCATGTGTGTGCGTGTGTGCGCATGTGTGTGCGTGTGTGCGCGTGTGCGGGGATGGGTGTGCATGGGTGCACAGGGAGAGGGAGGAGCTAGCAGACAGGGCGCAGGCGACAGTGGAGGGGTCGCTCATTGACGACATCCCCAGCAACGTCACTCTCCTCCTGGTGCCTTGCTGCCGCCCACCCCTGCCCTGGTGCCCTGGTGCCTTGCTGCACGCACACCCTTCTCTCCACACTTCCCCACCTGACCTCTGTTCACTCGAGTCTCCCTGTGTGTATGTGCCATACCCCATCCATCCTCTACACTGCCTCCCAATCTTCACATTCCACACCATCCCAACCCTCTTTTTTCCCTCTTTTAACTTCTCACACCCCGCCCTCCCTCCCCCTCCCCCCCCACCACAGCATCTGCTGCGCCCGGTGTACAGCGGGGTGCGGGCGGGGGTGGACATCATACAGTGGAAGGAGCCGCTCGCCACCATCCTCGCCGCCATGCTCTGCCTCTTCCTCGTCAACGGGTAAGCTTCTCCCCGCCCCTCTCTGCCCCTCCGTGCCCCATCCGCCTTTTGTCTTCTGCTTTCTCCTTTCTCGTCTCTGTATCGTTTTTACTCCCTTCTTTTTCTATCTCTAATCACGTATCTTATTCACAATTGACTTATTTAAATGCACATCCACTATTTCCAGCTACAAAATTCGTTTTGTTCGACCTGGCGTACGCATTTAGGCAATTCCCCAACCCGCAATTCTCCGATGTTCATGGAGAGGTCAAGGTGACAGTAGGTCGGGGGAGTTGACGTTCAAGTATTCTCACTGTTGATGCCAAGAACCCGCTTTCCCAGCTCGATTCACAGGGTAACCACTTGTCATCAAGTGGTGAAGCATTTGAACTCCAGCATCCACATATACGCCAAAGCTGTGTTCCCCTGCCCGCGTGTGCTCTCCATTTTCTGCATTCCCATGCTTCCAGGGGATACTTCTGGCTCCTACCGGCGCTGCTGCTGTTGCTTCTCGCCGCCATCATCATCTACTACCGCCTCACTAACCCCTCCTCGCCGCCCGCACAACCCTCCTCTCTCCCCCACGGCCCCGGCTCCCCCAAGTCCACACCCTCAAAGCTGACCTCCGGCAGCCCCGCCCTGGCGTCCTCACCGGCACCAGCAGCGTCAGCAGCAGCGGGGGGGCGGTGGGGCAGGGGGGGCGGGGCGATGCGCATGCTGGTGGTGGAGATGGAGCCGTCGCCCACCACCATGGGGGCAGTGCTGATGGTGAAGGACGGCATCGCAGCGGCGCTCACAGTCTTCCAGCGCATCAACGTCGCTCTGCTCAAAGTGCGCAGCATCTTCCAGTCCGCCGAGCCGCAGGTGCGTGCACTGGGGCACGTGGGTGGGTGGATTATCACGTATTGGCAATATTGGCTGCTTCTTGTGCGTTTATACCCTTTTTCCAATTGCCTGTTATTGAGTGGGACCGATGCTTGCAGTCATCACCGGTCTCCCCTTCTATCACCCCTCCCCCTGAGCATCACCCCTCCCCCTGTGCATCACCCCTGCACCTGTGCATCACCCCTCCACCTGTGCATCACCCCTCCCCCTGTGCATCACCCCTGCCCCTGTGCATCACCCCTTCCCCCCACAGCTCTCAGACAAGGCTGCTGCTGCTGCTGCTGCTGCTGGCGGGGGCGGCAGCGGCTGTGGTGGTGCCGCTGCTGGTGCCGGCGCGGGTGATTGGCACGGTGGCAGTGCTGCACGTGTTCTCCGCCTACTTCAACTTCCAGAAGCAGAAGGGCGGCCCACAGACCTCCTCCGTGGGCCACAAGCTGCGGCGCTGGTGGCAGCTCGTGCCCGTGCCGCCCGTCAGGGTCGTCGTCGCCGGCTCTGCTGCCGCTGCAGCGGCGTCCACAACTGCCTCGGGTGGCGACAAGCTGAAGTGAGCTTCAACGCTGAGGCCAGGGGCCTTCCACGGACAAATCATACGCAGTGCCGTTGCACTGTGACTGCCGAGCATTGGAGCGGTGCTTCTATGATCTTGTACATGCTCTTGCTGTGGAAGAAGGCGCAACCTGATTTGATTGGACCAGATGGTTGATTGGTCTGAGATTTCAGGCATTCTGTACGGCCAACCCCGGCGGTCTATTCAAACATAAATGGTTAACCCTGTATTCCAGTAAACGGTATCAGAGTAGTTTTACTGGCATTCATGTCGTCTGTATTGCCAGAGTAAACGAGGAACGGTACCGTATTCTCCCGGACATAACACCCTAGGGTAGATTAAAAAAAAACCGGAAAAAAAGGGGGGTGTCTTCTCATAGGAAAAGGCTACATAATACCCAGGTGCATGTATATGGTATATTTTAGTGTTCTTTTTATTAGACAAGTTGAGTGTTACCATGGGCTTTTTAACATCACACCTTGAGGCGCGAATGTGAGTTTCGACGCGAACGGCATCACCCCCTCGAAAATGTCAGTACATCCGGGCCCTAGTGAGAAGAAATCCAAAAGGTCCCCCTCCTGGTGGAACCGGGTTCCCACCAGGGCCGCACGCGGATGCAAGGCCTGTCGCGGCCCACAGCTGGCCACTGCACGCGAGCGGGAGTCCCCCGCCCTGCTGCAAGTCCCTAGCGAGATACGGGCGGGGGATGTCAACAGGACTAGGCAAGAATGATGCATTGAATGAAACAGTTGGTACAAGTAGCAAACCCTAGTTGGGGTTGTACCCCATATTGGCTACCCCACTACAGCCTACCAACATGTAACACATTACAATTTAACACACCCCCATAGGCAAAGTGGGGGAGAACAAAGGGTCACAAGACCAGTCCAGCAAAGCAACGCAAGCCCAGGGTGGATCACAACGTCACCACACTCCGAGCACAAGCAAAGGCTAAAAGGCCAGTTCACATGCAGTGCTAGATATAGTACAAGACAAGTAACACAGTGATCAAAACCTAGCAAGCAAGCACCAAGATATATATAAAGTACAGTACAAAGAAAGTCAAGCAGTAAGCAAATGAGGGAATGTGGACACAAGGCCTAAAGAAGTACAGTGCCGCTGATGATCACTAGGCGGGAGCGCCTTGGTGAAGATATCAGCAGTGTTGGCCTTCGAGTCCACGTACACAAGCCGAAGCTGACCGCGCTGCTGCAGCTCTCGAGCAAGAAAGTAGCGAAGAGCAATGTGCTTCGTCCTGTGCTCCAGTCTGTGCTCCTGACACAAGGCAAGGGCCGCCTTGTTGTCGCCGTACAGAACTGGAGGAGAACTAGGCCGCTCTCCCAAGTCAGTCAGCAGGTAGGTGAGCCAGCGTAACTCCTGTGCAGCCATGGCCGTGGCGTAGATCTCAGCCTCACAACTAGAGCTGAGAACAGAAGAAGAGCGGGTGGACCGCCACGAGACAGAACCAGAGCCAAGGCTGAAGGTGTAACCCTGCGACGACCGCTGCGTAGCCAGGTCGTCCACCCAAGAAGCGTCCGAGTGACCAGTGAGGACAACTCTGTCGCGTCCTCCAAGCACCAGCCCCATGCCTGATGTACTGCACAAGTAACGCAGTACCCTCTTAGCAGCCTCCCAGTGCTCTCGCCTGTGTCTCCCAGGCGCAACGTAACGAGCAAGGATGCTAAGAGGGTACGCGAGGTCAGGTCGCGTGCAAGTCATCAGGTACATGAGGCAGCCTACAAGCTCTGGGTACGGGCCACTCGGCTCTACGGACTCGTCCGAAGGTGGAGCTGAGAGCGAGTGGCTGGTAGCCAGAGGTGTGGCTTGTGGTGAGGAGAACTGGAAGCCGAAGCGCTGAAGGACCTGCTGCACCATGTGTGACTGAGTCAGGGTAATGGTGCGGCGTGCTCTGTCCCGGGTGATCTGCAAGCCAAGGTAGCTACGCAGCTCACCCAGGTCAGTGCAGGTGTGTCTCTTCTGCAGCTCCGACTTCACACGAGCGAGTGCCTCAGTGTCAGCAGTAGCAAAGACCAAGTCGTCGACGTACACGAGGATGTAGAACGGCGGCAGCGACGTGTCTGTGCGCAGGAACAGTGACGGGTCAGCAGTGGAAGGAGCAAACCCAAGGGCCGCAAGTGTAGTCCTCAGTGTGTCGTGCCACTCACGTGGTGCCTGGCGGAGACCGTAGACTGGCCGCCGGAGGCTCCACTGGGTACCAGGAGGAAACGACCCAGTAAAGCCAGGTGGGCGGCGCAGCCAGATCTCCTCGTGCAGGCTGCCCTGCAAGAACGCTGTGCTGAAGTCAAGAGAGTGAAGCTCGTAGTCACGCTGAGCAGCAACGTGCAGCAGAACCCGAAGAGTGGTCATCTTCGGGGTGGGGGAGAAGGTCTGGAAGAAGTCAACCCCCTGACGCTGACTGAAACCTCTAGCAACGTAACGAGCCTTGAAGACAGGTGGAGAACCTGGCGGCCGCTTCACCCTGAAAATCCACATGCCATCGACGATGTTCGCCCCAGGAGGGGGAACCTCGTCAACGTAGGTGCCTGTGGACTTCCAGGATGCCATCTCTGCGTCCATGGCTGTCTGCCACTGAGAGGAGTAGGGGCCCGAGATCGCCTCTGCGTAAGAGCGCGGAGTGGGGATGTCTAGTGCATCCGGGTCTCCCTCAGGGGCAAGCAGCCAGGCCACGAGATGAGGTACAGCAGCCGCAAGAGAGTCAAGGTCCTCTTGCCTGTCCTCAAGGACGTCCGTGCCAAGAGCACACTCACCCCCGACGGACGGAGGACAGACAGACTCAGACTCAGCAACAAGACTGGCGGCGTAGTCTAGACGACAGGCAGCAGCAAAGTCGACAAGCTCAGCGACCAGGGCAGACGCAGCAGCAGACTCAAAAGACGGGTCAGTGACAACAGTGGCGAGAAGACGGGTAACAGTAGGGTGGGCAGCACGAACACTGTCAGACTCAGGGTCGGGAACGTCAGGAAGAGAAGACGCAGGAGGAGACGGTAGGGGGACACGCTGTGGACCAGTGGAAGGACGAAGGGCCATAATGTGCGTGCCAGGAACAGGAGGAGGACGCGGACGCGCGACACGACGACCAGTGGGACCAGTGCGCGCAGTGCGAGCAGTGCGAGCAGCGCGAACAGGCGAGGCAGGACGAGACACAGGCTCACGACGCTCCGTAAGCGAGTCCGGCTGTGCAGTGTAAGGCACAGGAGCAGGGAGGGGGGAGCCAGGCTGGAGGGGAAGGCCAGTGGAAGACGGGAGGGAAAGAACCTGGCGAAGCACCGTGTCAGGCGGTGGCAAAGCCGACGGCGACGGTGGAGCGAAGAACAGGCGCGACGGCGGAGCTCCGCCAGTACCTCCAGCACCCGCAGCACCAGAAGCACCAGTACCAGCGCCCCCCGCCGCAGCACCCCCAGAGCCGGCGACGTCAGCACCAGAGGCCCCAGCAGCGGCAGACCTCCCCTCGCCAGCACCTCCAGAACCAGCAGGACCAACACCTCCAGGACCGTCAGCTCCAGTGTCGTCAGCTCCAGCAGCTCCAGCCTCAGTGCTCCCAGCCCCGGCAGCTCCAGTACCCCCAGTACGAGCACCTCCAGGACGAGCAGCTCCAGAACCTCCAACTCCAGCGGGACCACGAGGAAGGCGAAAGCGCTGGACGTACCAGTCACGAAGCTGCTGCTGTGTGAGAGGCTCCCGGAGAGACGGCTCAGCACCCCGAACCGGAGCACCCCCAGACGCAGCAACCCCAGGCTCCGTAGGCTCAGTCGCAGCACCCCCAGGCTCAGTACCCTCAGGCGCAGCACCCCCAGGCTCAGCACCCCCAGACTCGGCACCCCCAGGCTCAGTACCCCCAGACTCCGTACACGCAGGCTCAGCACCCCCAGTCGCAGCACCCCCAGGCTCAGCACCCCCAGGCTCCGTACTCTCAGGCACCGTACCCTCAGCTCCAGCACCCTCAGTCCCAGCACCCGCAGCCCCAGCACCCCCAGGCCCAGCACCCTCAGGCTCAGCACCCCCAGGCTCAGCACTCCCAGCAGCACCACCCGCAGCAGCACCTGAGTCACCTGTGACCTCGACAGGCTCAGCGACGGGAGGAGGGTCTACCTGAGAGACACCTGAAGGAGCAGGACCCTGAGGGGGAAGGGGGTCTACCGGAGGGGGACCAGGAGCGAGGAAAAGCGGCGGGGGAGGGAGGGGGGCAGTGCGGTAGGGGAAGAGACGGTAAAAGGGGACTGACTCGTCAAAGGTGACGTCCTGAGAGGCGAAGACCCGGCGCGAGGTGGGGTGGTAAAACTGCCAGCCAGGCGCGTCAGGGACAAAGCCAAGGAAGACACAGGGGACAGCGCGGGCGGAGAGCTTGTCCGCGGTGGTATCGCGGACAAAGGCACGAGAACCCCAGACCCGGAAACGCGACGCATCGCCAACCTCCCCCGTCCACAGCAGTGTGGGCGAGGTCTCCGGCAAGGAGACACGGGGCCAGAGGTTGAGCTGATGCGCGGCGTACCGGACCGCAAACGGCCACAGAAAATGGGGGGCAGCCGCATGGACCATGGAGGTACGAGCGACCTCCATGACCAAGCCAATGCGGCGCTCAGCAATCCCATTCTGCTGCGGAGAGGCCGGAAGCGTGAACGACTGGGTGATGCCGTGCTCCGCACAGTAGGCTGCCAAGAGGTCGGAGGAGAACTCACCACCTCTGTCAGAGTGCAGACGCAGGACGGGAAACTCTGTCCCGAACCGCCGGCGGAGCTGGAGACGAGCAGCGCGGATCCAGGGGATCAAAACAGTAGGGACCTCACCCTTGGTGCGCAAGGGGAAGACCGTGGTGTAACGCGTGTAGTCGTCGACGACCAGCAGGAAGTACCGCTCGTGGTCCTGTCCACGGACGCGGGCTGGGCCCCACACGTCCAGGTGGAGAGTCTGCAAGGGAGCCTCTGTGGGAGGGAACGAGGAGGAGTGAGGAGCGGCGCGCTGCCGCCCCTCGACACAGGGAAG